TGTCACCTTCCTTTGAAAAGTTTGCACTTTTTCCCCAATGGAGCCTTTTAATCACTTAAATCTGCTATAAACAACATATTCTGTGTCCTCACCAAACTCTTGTGGGAGTCAAATTCATGGAGAGAAAACCTTTAAAGTGTGGGAATTCTCAAAATTCAGCCAAAATATGTGAAAGGAATTAGTTCTGGTCACAAACAAGTAAACTCTGAACAAATCTTGAGCTGTTGGAGCAACGCTTTTACCTAAAATGACTCAGACTGACCTTTAAGACGGCATCGATAGTCACTGGAGTGGATCAGAATTCAGGTTTATTGATTACTTCACCAAATGCTTGGAAGATTACATCACAATATTATGTATAGAACCATATAGCACTTTCATTTCTATGTATCTTACATTGAAAACTTTACAGTCTGCATTTTTTTTTTCATTTACTGTATATATATATTTATATATATTTATATATTCCCTTAGCGTCAGGGAAGAAAAGTAGACATCCATAGTTGCGAGGGAAGGAATGCTTCTCAAAAAATATTTAAATGCACTTTAAATAATTACATACATCCTTCTTCTTTTTTAAAAAAAAGGCAGGGAACGAACTAGGAGGGATCCAGGACGCAGAGATTTTCAGGATCTCCGTGGATGCGAGTTTTGGTTTCGCTCTGTTCCTGAACCTTTTTCTGCGGAGATCTAATGTGGAGAAGGGTGTCAACACTGATCCGGCCGTCCAGTCCGGGCGGCGTTAATACATGAGCAGACTGTCGGAAACACGTGTGCAAAAGACCGTGGGATTTAGGCAACCGCTGCGCCACCTTCAGGGCCAATCGGTGGATCGGCGGTGGGTTTTTTTTGTGATCCCAGCGTAAGGCTTACTGGGTCAACACTCTCAGGAATGCGTGGCAGAGGGAAGTCGCCAACCTTTCATTGTAAACCAGCAATTATCCTGCAAAACAACAATCATAAATCAACAAAATAAATAAGCAAAATCTCATTGACAGGCAAGAAACGATGAAGCACGACAGGACGGTTGTGTCGCAGAAACGTCACAAACAACAACAAAAAAACCCAGGAGATGTCTTTGATAGTGTCGTAAAAGATGCAGATCGAGCTCACCTGCAGCTTTCTTTAACAACCGCAAAACCCTAATAGCACGAGAGGGAACGCTAAAGTCACAAGCAACGCTTCGGGGTGGGAACATGTTCTGATTAGATCACCATTTTCCAACAGGCACAAGTGGCCAAAAAGAGGAATTTTCACAAGATGTAAGAATAGTTCATCAAATTCAAAGGTATTTGCTCTTCACCATGTAGATATACGTCTCTGTTAAGCATTTAAAAAACAAAAAACAGAAAAACAAACCTTCAAAATCAGATACAGGGTTTGCAACAAGAACAATAAATTATTCGTCTACAGTTCTTTTCTGGTCATCGAGATGAGAGTCGGAGGGCGGCGGGGACGATGAATGACAACAGTCAGCAGAGAGCGCTGGTCACAGTGCTGTTCATCCCCGACAGGAGGAAGGGAGGGAAGGCTTCTCCTACGAGCCGCAGAGAAGCCGAACACTTGAACGCAGAGTCTTGAACTGAGACAAGAGAAGCTACAGTCGTCGTCACCTTCGTCCTCACGTCGCAGCCCCACCTGTGGTCTGATCCAGTTTAGAAGAGGAGGAGGGGGGGGAAGTCTCTTAAGTGTGTCCGCCATCTTTTCCACCCTTCCTAGGAGGTGGGAGTCCGGGTCGGCGCCGCCTCGGGGGCAGCGATGTGGAAGGCGGAGCCGATGCGCAGGAAGAAGCGCCTGAGGACGGCTCGCAGCTCAGGGATCAGGTCGAACTGCATCATCTCACACAGCTGGGGGTAGTAGCAGGAGGCGTGGGGCTTAAACTGGGGGCAGGACAGAGAAGAAACATGCAGGTTAACGCCACAAAGCAGCCACGTGACGCACGGTGGGAGCCTTTAGAGCGATAACACAGACGAACCAAGGGTCATTTGTTTAAGTAAAATCAACCAGTTAGCATCTATTCATACACTCACTGGCCACTTTATTAATACAATCCAGCTTGGCCATAAAGTCTACTGTCAAGAAGCTTCTACATTTTCAGGTTTACTTGTCAAAAAGAGGATAGTTCTACTTTATATTTATTACCGAGGTCATAGTTGCTAGTGGTAGTGTACTGACTGCATTAAAATGATAAAGTAATATTTTGAATCAGGCTAGAATGACAGTGTCAACAAAATGTGAAACCGTGGCCTTTATATGTATGTCAGTCATCTTCTAATCTTCTGTTCATAATCAGCTGCTTTAGTTGTTTTCATAGAAACTAAACTGATGTGTTCAGAGTTGCTGCTGCTTACAGCGACATTGTCTGTTGTACAACAAGAGTCACAAACAGAGATCTCAGAGTTGCACGATGAAGCCAGATTAGCGTGTTAGCTGGTATGTCAGAGTTTTCAGTGACACGAAGGTTTAACCCGCTCGATCACCATGGTAACTGATGCTGTAGGGCTAACCTGGAAGTCCCGTCTCGCATAACTTACATCATAAATGTTGATGTTTCTCATATGTTTTCACTAAAACAACCTGTTGGCCGAAGTAGGAGGCACGACGCCCCGTTTTTATGTAAACTGAGTCTGAAGCAGGAAACCTGGTTAGCAAAGAAAGTTGATGACCACTGCTGAGCACGGCGGCGGCAGTATTATGCTCTGGGGCTGTTGGAAAACAAATCGTCTCCCAAGTCGCAGTCCTCTTGCAGACTGCATCAGGTTGTCTTTCAGGATTTCCCTGCATTTGCTGCAATTATTTTACCCTCTAACTTTCCGTGTTTGTCGTCGGTCAAACATGGCGTCTCGTCTGAGAGCCAAAAAGCTCGATTCTGGTCTAAATC